TACCGACAAAACCTCGAAATGAAACTGCTGTTTTACCGACACGACCCAACAATCAACCACTACCATTAATTAAACAAATAAATGAAGAGGTAAGCTTTAAGACAAATTAATTGTGGATGAAATTAATCAATACTTAATTAATTTTAAGTCAATTGAGTGTCTATATTAATTACATTGTATTCATTTAATTAAATGTGTGCTATCTTTTGAACATTTGCATTTAAATTTAGAAGATACATATTGTACAAAGCATAAGTTGTTCTTGTTTTAAGTAACATTATGAGATTATTTGATTTTGAGCAGTTTTGGTAACATATTCTTTTCATTTTTAGGTTACCATAACTAACAATATGTGTTTATTTTCGTCACGATTCAATAGACATCAATACAGATTTAAGGATCTTTTTCGTTTTATGGAACCAACAGGATGTCTTAAGGAAAAAGAGGATTACGCACTCTATATATTTCCGCCAGATAATAAGTAAGAATTTCAGATTTAATTCTCAAATGATTTGATACAAAAATCTGTAAACTTGTGAAAAAATGTTTCTTCCAAAATATTCTACTCATAATGTAATAAAACTTTTATTATAGTATTAGAAAATTCTGCACATGGATGGTAACAAGGAGTTGGTTCGACAACATCGTTTTACTCTTTATCGCACTCAATTGTATAACACTGGCAATGGAACGACCAAACATACCTCCGGATTCTAAAGAGAGAGCATTCCTCTCAAGTGCCAACTATGTCTTTACTGCAGTCTTCGCTGTTGAAATGCTCATAAAGGTAAACGAACCACGATTTGAATTTAATAGACCAAGAATTTATCGGAACGACCATAGTGGATTAACAAAATTCTGCGAAAGATCATTTGTTTGTTTATCAAATCATTTTGATACTGTACTTAAGGTACATTAGTCATATTTAAGATGATTGATATATAGTTCGATCAACCAATTTTAATCTTTAGAAATAACAATTATGATGTCCATAGTTCATATTCTTGGGATAGCTTTTTCATATCATGAATAGATTTAGATCAAAATTCATTACAATGTTAAACAACTACTCAAATTGTAGGTTGTGGCATCTGGAATGTTCTACGGACCCGAAGCATATTTTACTTCCGGTTGGAATATCATGGACGGTTCCCTTGTCATCATTTCAATAATTGATTTATTGATGTCTCTTGTATCAGAATCGAGCCCTCGAATATTCGGAATTCTCAGAGTGAGTATTAACACAAACTGTTGTGAAAGAAATCTTTGTGATATTCATTAATTCTTGAACTTATAGGTATTTCGATTGTTAAGATCATTGAGGCCTTTAAGAGTGATTAACAGGGCACCAGGACTGAAACTAGTTGTTCAAACGTTATTGTCTTCATTACGACCTATTGGGAATATCGTTCTCATATGTTGTACATTTTTCATCATATTCGGCATTTTGGGAGTTCAGGTGAGAAAAAATTTCTATGCATGCAAACAGCTCTGTCGTTTTCATCAAGAGGTTAAAAATATTCATTTCATTCGCAATATTATTATCATTTAACTCATCAGCTGTATCTATTTAAATTTTCTTCTCAATAAATACTTTGAGAAGTCACAAGTGTGCGTGACTTTGGTACCATTTCTTTTAAAACTTATTTTGTTTTTTTAGTTATTCAAAGGAGCGTTCTTCTACTGCGAAGGAGCTAATATTAAAAATGTTAAAAACAGAACGGATTGCTTAGCTATCGAAGGAAACGTGTGGGTGAACCGAAAGTATAACTTCGATGATTTAGGCAAAGCTCTTATGTCTCTGTTTGTCCTGAGCTCAAGAGACGGCTGGGTCAATATTATGTATACGGGATTAGATGCAGTTGGAGTCGATCAACAGGTTAGCAGTTTTGTAATCGTACTTCAGTACGGTAGTTAATTCATTTAATTATATCTCCTTACAATTTTTTTTTATGAAAGCATTAAGAGATTTTTGATAATTTACTAATATTTCTTGTACCATTCCAGCTAAGATCTAGGCTTGTGTTAGCATATGGTTTACAATAATAGTCGAATTACGGGATTCGACCCCTTGTGATCGAAAATTCGTACCCCAACTATTAGGTTATTGGCGTTTCGTAACAATTTTATTAATGTATTTGTATTTTTACAGCCAATTGTTAATTACTCAGAATGGCGTTTATTATATTTCATTGCATTTATATTGCTAGTTGGGTTCTTTGTGTTGAACATGTTTGTGGGAGTTGTTGTCGAAAACTTTCACCGATGTCGCGAAGAGCAAGAAAAAGAGGAAAGAGTTAGACGAGCTGCTAAAAGAGCTCTGCAAATGGAAAAGAAAAGACGAAGTAAGAATTACTAAAATCATTTGTAATACACACCTATTCATTTACTATATTTTATGGTAATTATTTCTTTTAGAAATGCACCAAAGACCTTATTACGCGGATTACGGCCAGACCAGACTCTTTGTGCATAACGTCGTAACATCGAAGTATTTTGACCTAGCCATTGCCGGCGTCATTGGTCTGAACGTTGTCACAATGGCTATTGAATACTACAGAATGCCCCCAGCTCTAGAATATGCATTAAAGATTTTCAATTATTTTTTCACCGCTGTTTTCATACTTGAAGCGGTAATGAAACTAGTTGCTTTGGGAATAAAAATTTACTTAAAAGACAAATGGAATCAGCTCGATGTGATTATAGTAATCCTTTCCATAGTTGGAATAGTATTAGAAGAATTAGAAACCAATATAATACCGATAAATCCTACAATTATGAGAGTAATGAGAGTTTTACGAATAGCGAGGGTACTAAAATTGCTTAAAATGGCGAAAGGTATACGAGCATTATTGGACACCGTGATGCAGGCTCTACCACAAGTCGGCAATCTAGGTCTCCTCTTTTTTCTATTATTCTTCATATTCGCGGCATTGGGAGTCGAATTATTTGGACGCCTAGAATGTTCCGATGATATTCCATGTCAAGGTAAAAGTCTTCTTAAAATTTATTTAAAACAATAAGTGCAAATCTAACAAGCTTAATTTTTAGGTCTCGGTGAACATGCGCATTTTGCGAATTTCGGGATGGCATTTTTAACTCTATTTCGGGTGGCAACTGGAGATAACTGGAATGGTATTATGAAAGATACGTTAAGAGAGGACTGCGACAGCTCTGTGGACTGTGTACGAAATTGTTGTGTATCAACCATAATTGCGCCGATATTCTTCGTTGTATTCGTATTGATGGCTCAATTCGTTCTCGTCAACGTAGTTGTGGCTGTAAGTAATTTGATATTCCACTTTTTATTTTATTTTTAAATAGTTTTAACTATACCAGTTTTCAGAGTTTTATTTATACTAATCTTGTCTAAATCTCCCCAGGTACTAATGAAACACCTAGAAGAATCTCACAAACAAATGGAAGATGAAATCGACATGGACGTAGAGCTTGAACGAGAATTGGAGCGAGAAGCTGACGACGAAGAAGATCGTGCTTTATGTCGTGCATTAGAACAATGTACCTCACCTCCTAGACCTTTGAACAAAGTACCATCTCTTCCAGCGAATTTCACGTACAGTGAACCAAAACAGCAACCGATACCATCACCCATACGTCGGCGTCGCACGCTACATTCACATCACGCTCTTCTACCATCGCCTATGTCAGTACCGCAAAGAAGAGCTTCATTATCTCCTCATGCATTTGGAAGACGTAATCTGGAATCTTTTGTAAGCACTCGAGCTGCTTTATACGAAGAAGACGCACGTTTTATTGACGCTGACGATATTGAAGAACTAGAGCCCGGTAGTCCACCTAGACGGGATTCATTTGCAAACAATCGAAGACAACGAGTAGATAAAAGAAATTCCTTAAGAGGCGAAGAAGCCCGGCTACTTAGGCCTACTCCAGTTCTCCTAGCCGTCCCATCTACGAGACAAAGTCTAAGACTTATAGGGTCAAAGAAGCGGTCTTCGATAGAGTCTGCTGCGAATAGTGATGTAGGCCACAATTCTTTAAAATCCCATTTAACACCAGACTCTGTCGAGCAACCTATAAGTGAAGAAGAAAGTATTAGGATCGTTATTGCAGAACGAAGAAAAATAGAGAATGCGAAACCAGAAGTAGATGATACTGTAGAACTAACGGAATGTGGGTCCTAGTCCAGGCAGGGCCGGCCGCAACAACATCATGAAGTATACATCTAAGATATTAAAGAGTTTCCATCAATTCCTACCTTGCTTCTATATTATTATACTTTATATTCCAACTGGACTGATATGAGACGAAAGAAGATTGAATCCGGTTGCTTAAAGGTGAAGACAGACATGACAGAGCAGTCACTTTCGACAGTCTTCGCTTGTTACAACCGGCGGGTGACAAAAATAGTGCCAGTGCTTGAAAAAACTATAGACAACACTTGTGTTTTCCCCATCATCTTCGCTGTCCTCTTCACTTCATCAAATAATGCGGCCGGTTTGAATACTTCACAGACTCTAATAAATTTAAGGTTAATTAAAAAGTTATTGAGTGTAGCGTTAGGACTAGTCAATTTGTTGTGGTGAGATTGTTTTCTACGTGAACTAATATCCCTTCATTATCTTAGTTATATTTAGTACGGTGCTTATGGTAAAACATGTTATACCTGTTATAATAATCCGTGTTGACAGCTAAGATATACTAAGTAAAAAAATAGAAAGCAATCTTAAGGTCCTGTCCCACCATTGGCTAATAGAGGCTAGATAGATTAAAAATGACGTCACGTTGGATTGTTATCAGACAATTTACAATTTGGTGATACAGGCCCTAACTATCATAGTTTCCATATGATCGTCATACAATATATTGCCTTAAAGGAGCTGTCAATACGGGTTGTATCAAACTTTCACCATAATTTAAAATAGTGTCAAAAACATTCAAAATTGATGTAAACGATGCGATGTTTAGTGTTAAAATAATGTATAAATGTGTAGTTATATTTAATCTGTCAATTCTAATAAAATGGAGGTTTCAAAATCATTGAAGTTAAATATTGTGTAAGACAACGATTCAATTAGGAAATAGCAGTATTATTTACTTAGTTATGCACTAAAAAGTGCTTTAAACATTGGTTCTGTATAACAATATAGAAGAATGAAAATTAGTTTGCATATTTCATCTATAAAACAATTGAAATACTATTTTCTGATTACAAAAATCCTATTTTCTTAATTACGACTTAATTACCAGTAGATCTAACTGTCAAAACGCACAGGAGTTTAGTTGATAGATTAAAAAATAATATTGGACTTGTTAATTATCGTATTACAGCACTGAATATTAACGAAATTTAATTTCTGTTATATATTAATATAGTTAGATGTGCCAAAAAAGTATTTTCTAAAATTATTCAAAACGTTTATATCCATATTGGAATTGAATTTTAATCCCTTTATCATATTTTTCTTTATTTGTCTATTGTATTGTAAAGATGGATATAGAAAATATAATTTATACTCTATTATCTATGAAATCTATTATCTGTATTGAATTTATAAAATTTACCTTCGACAGTTCTTAATATGGAAATCAGACGTAATTAGTTAAGGATGTCAGCAATAAATTTTATACTTCGACTGTGCCTTTTCCTATTTCTAATGTAGCTTGAGAGTAATTGTCAATGGACTTCGAACTTAATGTATGTTTAGGTGAAATATTAGACATGTAATTGTTATCTACTACCCTACATTACCATAGGTTACTCTTAATATAAAATTTAAACCCTATTATTTTTCCCAAGATATCTACAAAGACAAAAATATTTATGCATTCTAATTTAGACTTTATAACATTAAAATTTTATTATTCCTCTATTTTAGTAAAATATTGAAAAAAATCCAAATCATAAACTTACAAAAAATAATTTTAGATTTGTTAAAATTATATGCGAGATTAAAATTAATTTTTCATAAAAAATCAATGACATAAATTATAATTATCTAAATATCCTCTTCCACTTTTATATTCTGTAAAATAATAAAAAAACAGTAGAACAAAGCGATCACTATCTTTATAAGCGTGGTTTTCACTGTTCAGACAACCATAGCCAAGAAATAACACGGAGTATCTTTGCTTAATCTCATAGAAAATGTATAAATGAATTGAATAATGGGAATTTAGTAATTATAAGTATAGTATTTTCGTGATATAGGCAACTTCGTGATAAAAAGTAAATAATTGTTTTTCGGTACTGACTGTATGAATGCCTAATGCTAGGTTTACACAGGAGGGGAATAGTGTAGCAGAGCAGTAAAGAGAATAGTACTGCTACCCTTTAACCACAAAATCAAAATAAAACTGTTTTGATATAAAGTTTGTCCATGGACATCTACGATTACGTGTGTGAGTGTGTAACTCAACAATGGCTGTACTGCATTATCAACTGCTCTACCACGATGATCTGCCTTCGTGTGAAACTAGCATAATATATGAACAATGTTCACTAGTCGAGTGCGTCTGTTATACTTAGCTGGTAAACGTTAAGTTATGAAAGTTACAAAGCTGTTAGGTTGAAAAAATAAATATAAATTTAAACTATTGTTTTATTTTCTCACCTTTTCTACACCTTCCATACGTACAAAATAATACAAAAAAATCTATACTGTAATTAAATTGAAATTAAATCAATAGAGTTGTCTTTTTCGCCTAAGTACATTAAATATTTAACAAATATCTACATTTTTCATTGAATTAGAGTGTTTTTTGGATATGGTAAGTATTTAGTTGGTACGACTATTATTTGTAGATTTTAACAAAATAATATTCTTTCATGTCACATGATTTCTAATCAAGAATAGCAATTTTATAATCTAAAAGTGGAAAAACAAATGAATGTGACATATATTTGGTTTCAATCAGAGTTCAAAAGCCATTATTGAAGCTCAATAAATAAAAATGACTACATAATATTCAAAGCTCACGGATGCAAGATTTGCTTTCCTTCGATCTTCAAAGTCTGCGTTTGGCGTCGACCCGTCGCCTGGCCTACTTATGAAATATTTTCCCGGCTTTCTCAGATGAATAACAACAAAAGGGTTATTTTTTAATATTCACTAAAGTATTTCCTTACTGTTTAGTATGATAAATCTGTACTATATACTTAAGTAAACTTATACTACTGTGAGTTGATATGTGAGTGGTGTGTCTCTAATGGAATATTATGTAATTCCCTCACAGTGCGTTGCGTTTGTCGTAATGTCCAGGGATTTCTCCCTTACCAGGTATCTCATTAATCATGTAGCCAGAGGCACCAAGGCCTTCCATTTGAATTGATTTGAATTATAATTACGAATAATAAATAACATGAAGTCCATAAAAATAACTAGAGCGTTACAAGTAGTGAACTTAAATTGGAAATGTTTATAATAGATTTTTTGTAGCTTCAATTACTAATAATGTAAAGATCTCCAAAACTACTGAACCGATTTCAAAAATTCTTACGCTGTTAGAGAGCTACATTATCATTGAGTAAAATAAGCTATAATAAACGGGACATCAACGGGAAGGGTACGGATATGACAGAAAAGATATGACACGTATCTTCTAAATATGAGGAGCTACAGTACATCGTTACTTTTATCAATATCTGTACGTAACAATGAAAAATGTTTATGTTTTATAAATAAATCTAAATTAACAAGTACAAAAGTATTTCCAATTTAATTTCCCACATTACTCTGATTTTACGACATCTTTTATCGGCCATTTGCCGCGAGACACGGGGGCGCCTCTACAGGGGCAATTGAAAACGTTCCCTTTCTTACACGACCTACATTGTTATAGTACAATTAATAATCTAATTAAACAATTTACAATATGCAAATTATACTATACTTGTCCAGTTAATTGACCACCTGAAAAACATCGAGAAACAAATGTAATAAAAATGCGTTGAGTCGGCGATTTCTGGGCGGAATTAAAAAAAAATCAGCAAATAGCCTATGTATTTTTCCAAACTATTTTATATCATGACATAGAGATCCGGTGAGTCATTTTAAAGATACTTATGAACAAACTTTCCCTACAATAGTAGTAAGATCTATTGTAAATATAAAAAATTGACAATTCTTACGTATTCTTATTCTTATTTTGAGAATGTTTAAGTTTGCTTAAAAAGGTTTGCTCAAAGTAAACAATGGCAATTTAAGCGCTTGACCTATCTTTGTGAAGTTATTATGAAAATATAATCTCATTTAATCTCAAGCGCCTTCGTGCTTCACAAAATATTAAGACGTTGTCGGCCATCTTTGTTGGGTGACGGTAATTGTTAAATTCAAAACTCGAGATTTGCAAATATTAGTGCTTAAAACGGAATGCGTGGAGGACGGAGTGGAAGAATTCTGTCACTTTATTTAATTAAAACTAGTTACTTTATTGTATTATCGACATATTAATAACCTAAATCAATTAAAATAAACATTTTGTATTAATTTCAAAGAAAACTTCGATATTGGCGCACGGAATGTCCTGAGACTTATTGACATTATCCTATGAAGTGATTTCCTTAAATGTGCAATAATAATGTACAGAACTAACATCACTTTCGTAAAGACTAGACTTGATTTGACTGTCTACTTGTATAGATTTTCACCGACTTTAATTTTTAGGACTGCGGGACAATCATATTGTAAATGAAAAATTTTGATGGATGGATGGATGTTTGTTAGAGTTTGTAGCCTAAATGGCTGAACAGATATCGACGAAATTTGGTATAGATGTACAGGATAGTCTTGAAGAATACATAGGCTATTCTCTTCTGTTTTTTTTTAATTGCACGCTGACGGAGTTCCGGACGAAAGCTAGTTTTGTACAAAATCAATCATCTTTACATGTGTCTGTACTTGGTAATGTGCATATATCTCTGTATCACAAAGGATTTTAACAGTATAAATTTAAAGAGAATCATCGTTCATTCAGCCCAAAGCCGTCGTTACAGTTATAAATGACTGACCGCTGCTGCTCTCGAGTGCCTCGTTTAAAATAATAACCGCAATATACAGTATATTTTTAAGCTAAAACTTTTGTCTTTGTGTATCTTTTTTACGAAACAAATATAACTAAACCTACAACTACTAATATTATGAGGAACATTTGTAAAACTAATGCTTCAATTTTAAAAATTCATTCATTAGAAAGCTACTTTATCTCTAATAGGCTTCTTTACTAGATTTTTTTAACTCTACGCAAACGCATTCGTAAGCAACTTCTAGTCTTATAAATTTTCTCTAAAATAATTGACATTAGCGAAAATACATATTAAAAAAATGACGTTGCATTGCAAAATAATTGAACTATTTCATTTTTAACTACAAAATGTCCGCTTCTATTGTTTCTAGAGTAACTCATTAGAAAACTAAATTAAAGAAACCTCTTGAATTCCCTCATATTTGAATATTTATAATGACTGTTATAAAAACCTTTATGTGTTAGTTAAAGAATTATATAAATTTACGAATAAAAATATTAACGAATTCTCTGAACTCTTTTGTAAGACGCTGAATATTTTATTAACATGTAGCGAGAAGCGTAGCTGAATAAATTATTCAAATGTACCGTTAAGTGCTAAGTTCAAGTCACTTGAAAATTGTTTTGCTTGTTAAGCATCGTTACAATCGAGCCTACAAAGACTTTGAGACTATTCAAGTCGCATCTTTACGTATGTTCTAAACATGTTATTTTTATGTTGTGTAAATCTATCCATAGTATGTTTTATAAAAGAAAATGGATTTGTTACATGGAAATTCGTTGCTTGTTATCAGGGATGTTGCGGATGTTGATTTTTTCACATCTGCGGATGCGAATGCGGGTGCGGAGTTTTGAGGGCTCACATCCGCGGATGCGGATGCGGATGCGGATGTTAAGAAAATATGTAAACCGTCATCATCATCATCTCAGTCTTTATTATGTAACTGAAGTCTATTAATGAAGAATTAAAACAATGATAACTTAATTGTTAATATTTTTATTGTAATCCTATTGTAATCCTATTGGTAAATAAGTAATTAAAATTAAAATAGGAGCATTATACTTAACTAGCTGTTCCCGTGCGGCTTCATCCATATGAAATTGGAAAATTTTATTTTATTGTTTACATGTGTCAAATTATCAATAGCAAATGTCAAAATGACATGACATGACAAACCTTGACAATCTTGCTTCCTTTATGTTGGCAGCAACTTATGGTCTCTTTCCCACATTAGGGTTTTTATCCAAAATGTATACCCCCTAAGTTTAATTACGTGAAAATATATATCCTTAAGCGTGACATAAGTGTAGGGCTTTTTA